ATCTCAGTAAGCTCTGAATGTGAAGAAGTTAAATACTTGAGGGATAATTCCCTAGAAACTCTTCGTGGTGGTGTGCTGCCTAGTTGTCGAAACAAAAATGGGTTAAGTTTCTTCATCGATGTTGTATGGTAACAGAAATTCCACTATTTAAAAAAAGGAATCAGGGTACCCACTTTAAGATTAGCAATTCTTTGTCACTTCTTTCCTATTTTCTCTACCACTTAAATCCTGTGCAATAGTATTTCGTTACAAATCTTAACTAACCAGAAATTATGAAATCATTATTTTAGCTACTCACTAATATGCTTTCATACGATGAGAAGGGAATGAACTTGTACTTTTGCGTGTACCAGGTGGAGGATGCAATTCGAGAAAACAGAATAATAAGACACTACAATTTACTAAGATTTTTGATATTTTGACCCGACGTTGCAGCACTTGCATGGTCAATCTTCGTTTTTGAGGTGCTCGGCCACCTCCTTTCACAGCTGTAGGTATTTTGTTTACTGCATTCACCCACTCAGGTGCAAAAATAGCAGCTGATCTGCTACTTGCTAACAAAAGAAAATGAAAAGCTCTAATCTGGTGTTGGGTCTTCTTGTTTCTTTGGCAGCTACATGTATCTTACCTTGTAGTCCCCACCCAGATAGAGTAAACAGGTACTTTCCCCTGGTTTAATGCCAGTTTACCATCTGCAATTACCTCATTTATTTCCTGCATTGAATCTTAGAAATTCGCTTTGATGGACTCATAGGATTCTGAGGTACTCATTATGGCGAAAGTGGTAATACCAAAAGGTTGAATTCCATAGACTTTAGTTTTAAACTAAAGAGAAGTATGATGATGGATCATCGTCTTATAGAAAAAGCAGTCATTGTGGGAAGTTCCCCTTTACAAAGGGCTGCTTCCTAAGCCAATTGTAATTAGGTTGAGTTAAACATGGCTAACGACACTAGGTTTCTTACTTCTGGCACAAAACAAGATTTTCTCGTTATCAAGCAATGTAATAATGTACTAAAGTGTTGTACAAGTACAAAATACAAAGGATACTCTTAGGAAATGATGTAAAGAGACTTTATTAGAAGCCGTTATCATATATAGAACTGAATGAAAAGCTAATTTAGAGGCTCCTCTGGCTGGGAGGTTTGAACTGCACCTACAGGTCAGGTAATGGGAAAAGGCAGTAAGTCAATACTGATGTAATATCAAGGTCTCCATCTTTTCTTTTTCATGCCCTACAGGTCAGGTAATGGGAAAAGGCAGTAAGTCAAAACTGATGTATCATCAAGTTCTCCATCTTTTCTTTTGCATGCCCTTTTGTGCCCCGTATGTGGCACACTTGGTGGATTTGGGTAACGTTTTCCTGTGTCATCGAGGACACACTGAGGCATGAGCTCTCTTAACTCTACCTCACTAAGACCCGCAGAAGTTTTTGGATTTATATACTGCTCGTGCTGCTACAAACCCCTACCTTTCAAACTTCCAGAACCTTCGATAATCCTTGTGGCGCTTTGAGTGGTTTCTTATGTCAGGCGCACAAGATCCCTCTATACGGGTCATGTCACTTAGAGTTCTACATGGCCCCATTAGGCAGTGCTGGCAAGGAGGGTGGTCTTCGAACCCTTCCAGAATACTATTACTCCAGGGATTCCCTGATGCAGTAGTGTCAGAGGCTAAGGTTAATGAGGGTTGGGAAGCAGCAACTGATGTTGAAGGGGCTTCGTGATCTCCATCTCTGTTCTGTGGCACACTTTCTAAAGCATAGGGGAGTTTGAAATAAGTGCCACGAGGACACTAGATTGATTCAGCATTACATTTTTCGACAAATTTAGCAAACTTAAGAAATAAGCAAATCATGCAAATACAACTCAAGAAGGATCATACATGCATACTGAAGTAGAAATGCAACGAGACAATCAAAGACACTAAAATCAATATCAAAGCCAAAACACAGTTGTAGATAAAAATTATTCACCGAAGTGGAGGTGGCTAGCAATCAATATACAACAGGCAATGGATCATATAATTTGATATCTTTTTCATAACTCTACAGGAAAATGATGGGTAAATGCACTTAGAGTTATGTGTTCAGTGCAGAATTGACCTTGCAAAATTGCTAGCTTTTTTTAAGGCGAGTGTGAAGCATTTCATATCAGTTCTCTTCTTTTAGAATTAACTCACTTTCAAAATAACGCAGTGAAATGTTAAAAAAAGCAACAGATGCAGATGAGTAATGAAAATGCAAGAAATTATGCATAGATTTTTACATGTCATGAACAATGTCTGCCATATTTTTCCATTCACACTTGTTTGAATTATATCTGTCCATCTATCTGCCTTTTTGACAGTTGAGTGTGGCAACACAATTTCTCAATTATTTTGTTTATGTACTAGGTCAAGATATAATGTATCAGCACTACTACTCTTTTGATTTGTGGCTGTTTTTTAAGCTGCAATGTAACCATCTTAGTTACAATGTTTAACTCTGTTTTCGTGTGTTCTGTAGTGCAATATTTTGGCGTCAATAGGAAGAGCTTTAACAATATAGGGATTCGTGAAAACCCGATAGATGTCTCAACAGTTGAAGAATGCCAACTAGCTGCAGAAGACGTACCATGGACTGAAGAACTGCACCTTACTGTAAAGGAGCAGAACATCCTGTTCGGCAAAAGTTGGCTTAATGGCTCCATAATCAATGCAGCTATGGTTCGGAAAGCTTGTTGTTGGAGTGAAGTCGTTGGACTCGAGGTACACATGGTAGGGATCACGGTTTTTCCCGCTCAGATAGTGGACAAGGTTTCATCCACATCATAATGTTGGGGATAATCATTGGCTGACACTGTCAAACTTTTTATGGGCAAGACCATACACTAAAGAATCATCTGCGTTCGTGCTTACAGTGATACCACTTGCTCGATTTTCGCCAAACTTGGTGGCCTCAACTTCTATGCTTTCAAACTCGTCTTGACTGTCTTTGGCGGTCCGTTCACTTTCTGAACCAGACATGATTTCTTCCATCGTTGATACAGCTGATTTTCTGCTGTGGCTTTAACTATTCCAGTAAATTTCTGGCTTTCTTTCGCTCGTTTCGCTCCAAATCTTAAAGAATCAGTGAGACGCGTTCACAACAAAGGTTCCTGAGTCTACGTCACAGACAAATCACATGGGCTTATTATGAGCCCGTCGGTATTCTTATCAGCGGAACAGGTAGACTGCGAAAAACTATGATTTCAAATACTTTAGAAAAATCATTAAAAAATCGCTTTTCGACGGAATCAATAATTTCTTCGGGAAACGTCATTGCTTGATATGTAGATTTGGATGACAAAATAAACAAATTTCGTTATGGGCACTTTAAGTGTCAAAAGAATGGAAGGATGAGGTACCCTATCGTTGTCGATCAAGTAGCATACCAAATTTCAAAGTATGGAAAGTCATTGACCATGTTTGTTGAGAATGTCCAGCAGCAGGATCGAAGTGAAGACTGTGGTCCATTTGCCATAGCTTATGCCGTTATACTTTCTTTGAATCAGGATCCAGTCCCAGCAGTGACAACAGAGTAGACAAAAAGAACAAAACAAAAGCTCTGTATCGTTGGACCAGCAAAGTGCATTGCATATGCCGCATACCGGATGATGGCAGAAACATGGAAGCTTGTTTGAAGTGCAAAAAGGAGTACCATAACGAATAATAATAATAATAAATGTTATTTAGCCAGGGTTATCTCTTCAGCATAAAATGCTGCTATCAATGAGGGCCATGGCCAACATAAATAAATAAATAAAATAAAAAAATATATATATCTATTTAAAACTAGCCTAAATTACAGTAACTAAAAATACACTAAAAGTTAAAAATACAGCAAGATTAAAAAATTGTTTTAAAAAGCTAAAAAACAGCAATTAAAATGCATTTAAAAGCTAAATTAATACAAAAACTTAACAAGTAACCAAAAAACTTTTGATCTATATAATTCCAAAAAATAGAGTTTTAAAAATCATAACTGACTTAGAATCCTTCATTTCACTTGCAATATTATTAAAAAGTTTAGATCCATTAAAATAAAAAGACTTCCTTGCCGTCTTAGTTCTGACTTTGGGGAGCAGTAAGTTGTGTCCACTTCCCCTCGTGTTGTGGACTGTTCTAGAAATCTTAAAATAATCTTTAAAAAACATTGGAGGGGATCCCTTCAAGCATTTAAAAGTCAAAGTAATAGTGTGCATATCACGCCTCATAGACAAGGGAAGCCACTTGTAGGGTGATTGCCTAAAATGCGTGAACAGCTTTTTCAAAGCCCTTTCTGCGGAGGGTTCTGACACAAGTTTCTTAATGAGCAAATGGTATTAATTTTTACAGCGGAATTGTATTATTCCATCTTCCATCTGACAGTATTCTGAAGTTGCTCCAAGCAAATCAGGAACTGAAGAATCAAATGCCTTTCATTTCAAAACTAGAGGAACGGCAGAAATAGTGCAAATAGTTAACTTTTATTATTTATTTTGAAATTCTTCTAAGATTAGAAATTTGCCATTAGAATTCATTAAATCAGTAATGAAAGTATCACCGAGATCAAACCATTGTCTCCAGAGGACACTATTCGTCTCTAGTATTATTGTTCCAAAGAATGAGGTCATTGTTTTTGTTGTCTTCTCTCCTGAGAACTTAGTTCTTGAAAAAAAGTCTAACAACTCACGGTAAAATAAAGTTACATTGTTAAGAAATGCAATATTGTAGTTGCACATAAAGAGGGAAGGGCAGGCCGCCATATTTCTCAAAAAAGAAATTTGGTATCCTTCCAATTAATGTCAGAGTTACTGAGGAATCTTCCTATCCAGCCAGGTCCCAACGATTTCACCAAAATTTAAAAATTTATAAAATTAAGGCCACCATTTGTAAGTGGCTGGCATACTACATTTCGTTTGATTTTGTCTTCTCATTTTTCAACAAAAACAAGTACAGGAGTCTTCGAGTAACTATCCTATTGTCAGATACAGCTACTATTATATTATTATGACATCATTATACAAGTAGATAAGGATAACATTGTTGAAGGATTCTACCCAGTAAGTGTCATGGCACTATAAATAAATAGATATTACATGAGTGTTTAAAACATTAAACAACCAGGTTCACATAGACCACTTTTTAGTTTTCTACCCTAATGAATGTTTTTTTTATCCCTCGATGTTAGTTTTTAGGAATTATATAAAAGGAATGTAGTAATATTGATTTCTGCATTACCAGGTAGTAGTCTTCAGCAAGTTTGTAGACTCTTGATTCCAAGATGAATTTTTGCAGTACTGCTATTGCACCTGAATCAGTGAGTTTTACTTTACTGCACCTATACTCAGGGTTTTTTTTTACATTTGGATTCAGGATCACAGTGGGTGTGATTGCTCTGAAATGGAAAGCATTAGTCTAAGTATAGTGCAAAGCTATTACTACAACCACACAGAACATGTCCTATCTTTTTTGTGTTATTTATGCTAGAAAGTTTTGAATGTAACAAAGACATGAAGCATTCATCTACAGTACTATTCAAACCTGGTAGTGATCTACTTTAGTCAAGAGCCTTCGCCTCAGATCATCTGGACTTGAGCAGTTCTTCATAGTGTAGTAGAAATGGCGCTTCACACTTGCCTCTGAAAATGTGATGATAAAGGTCTTATCATTTACAAACAAGAAATGGTGTTTTAGAGGAAAGCAGCAATAACATTTAAGCCTATTATTTACAGTTTTAAGAAAGCAAACAATAAGCTGCTATCACTTACGCTGAGATAGCTCAGATTTCTTCAAACAACTTTTTCCCCTCCCACTTCTGTGCAGCACTACTTATTTCTTTTATGGCTTTGGCCACGCCCTTTGTTCCTGAAAAGTGGCAACAGAGATAGAAGAGTCATTAGCTCACTGGTTAGACTGACAAAATGTCAAAGCGTGGGAATTGATCCATATCAAGAAAACAGAAAAAGTGAAAGAAATGTATATATTATCAAACTTAAGCTTTTTTTTGTGTTCTCTACAGCTATAATGGGATCTAGGACACAGCAAAAATAGTATTTTACCATGCCAAGTGTCAAATGAATTCTGTATGTTTTGGGTCAACAGCCAGTTCTTGATTTTTGGTACAAGATCATGAGCAACTTCTCTTACACTGAGGCCTGAAGGAAGAAATTATAAATTTAGTAAACAACGTGAGATCCCTTTTAAATAAAATCATTTAAAATGAAGGTAAAAACCTCTCACTACCACATCAGCAGTTAAATCACCATTTATGGTAACATAAGGAGCTTTCTATTAATAACAATATTATTGAATAAGGGCTAATAATTACATTATGCCTTTTAATTCAAAGCAGTTTCCCAAAATTGGATGGTATTCACTGATGTCATAATGACCTCAGCAGTGTGTAATGCATGGTGCAGGAAATTAAATATTCATGGTACCTGTTGCCTGAACTGTGGCGATAATCTTTTTCATTGCCTCAAACTCATGAGTCTGTGAACTACGAAACTCTTCCTTAGTCACTGTCTGAGTTGCTAACAACTGTTTGGTTCTGTCAAAAGAATATATTATTTGATGTGATAAATATAGTGTAAAAGTAAATTGTTAATTCAGCCCTTCTTATGTCACTGGCTTTAAAGTGAATATACTTACTCATAAGATAATATTGTAGCGGTTAAATAGTAAGCATTGGCTGTTGAGTCATGGCAGCAATCAGTGATGACAGTCTGATAACAAGGTGTATATAAAATATTGTTTAAATTGTAGATGTGGTAAGTTACAAGTTATTGTAAAAGTGAAAGTGTTGAGGTCACAACCAGACTTACTCCACCATTGTTTTTGTGATATGAATCCTTGTTACGGGCTTCACTTATCTTCTCTAACAGTGAGTCTTCTACAGTTCTAGTTACTGTGCCGATGTAGCCCATTTTGTGATACACTACAAAGCAATGACATCTACATAAATCTCTTATACCATATGTATCAAGACATAACCCTAAAGTAGAACTGAACATTTTACAGGCAAAATTAAGTCAGAAAAACTATGTCCGAAAAAAATAAATCAAGAAATTGCAATACCATTCCCATTCATGGAAAGCTTATATGGGGTATGTTGTCCCCAGCCCTCAAAATTTGAATTGGGGTTTTGGGTAGATGGATAGCACTTATCATGTTTTACAAAAATTTAGAAGATATAAACGATATTCAAGATGCCAGTGCCTCACTTTTGTCAATATATTTGTCACCAACATTGCCAATCTTAGCAGCCTCAGCAAAGCCCAGATACTGACTTCCCAGGATGCCAGAGCTTATAAACGCGTGTACCATTCTAAAAGTGGTGTAAAAGAAGAATATAGCCCCCCAAAATATATTTTTTTATTTTATATTCAACAATATTTAGTCAGGGGTGCCCAGTTCAGTGAGGCTGGTTTGAATACTCTGGGCCCTGGTGAAAAATAAAATGTGGAAAAAAAACCTTGACATTACCCTTAAATACGAGCATATCAACACCTAAATTGAAATAAATGAGTCTGTCTCTCCCGATCCATGCCAACTTGCATGCCTAGTTTTGTGTTTGTACCTGGCTAACATATACCAATGACCACTGAACACAACTGCAGCTACTTCAATAAAGGAATAATAATGTACTCTTTGCCGTTATAACAAAAAATTACAAGACGCATGGAACTTAGAAAACCACTATAATGGTAAAGCAAAATACTGTAATCAATTTAGGCTTACCTTCCGTTAGCTGTATACTTAGTACCAAGTACAGATGAGTTGGCCCACTTGATTTTGTGCCCATTTTAGCAAGAGAGTTCTACTCGCAGTATGTGCCCATCCATATTCCTGTTTAACTTGTCGAAAACATAGGGACATGCACAGGCACTGGATGTCTGTTGGAGTAAAACTTCTAGGCTATCCTGCCCACATAAAAAGAAGCGTTCATCAATTCGAGCAGGAGACAGAACCTGTGTACAAGGTGCTACTTCCCCACATGGCCAGTGACAACCAAAATCGACTTTCTTCTCCTCCCTTTGAGTGAAAAGTTCGAATACTGATTCAGTGGAATTGGCCTGAATTGCCACTGAGTTCATTTCTGGGGGATTAACGTCCTGGTTTTTTCCTTCGTATCAATCCAAAAGAACCCGCAAAAAATTGGCATTGGATGAACCGGGTTGTAGATTTGCCATGTTGAGAAGTCGGACAAACCTTCCATTTGTCTCTCTTATCTCCCCCTCTTTGCGGAAATGAAATTGGAAATTCAAACTAAAGTGAGGCTTGTGTGGTTTCTCTTTTCTTCGTTTGTTGTAGTTTCGTTGCAGGTCATATTTAGCTTTCTTTGCACAAGGCTCGGCAGCACCCAACATTTTGACCCGATGATTTTCTCTAGGTTTACACTCGAAGCCCGCTAAATTTTTTAATATTGCACCAATTTTTTAATATTGCGCCAATCATGTCTCTCCTCATATTTATTTAAGAATACTATCCAGTGATCAGCATTTAAAGAACAGCCGAGAAAATCTTTGGGGGAGGAGCAGTGATTTTAGAAACATCTGTTGAGGAGGGTAAGTACATTTGGAGCGCGAAGAGAAGGTCTGCGCTTTAATTGGAGCTCTTTCAGAGAAATACACAAAAACGAAAAACAACACAAGACTTGAACAATGTTTTCAAGTACATTTATAGTTCACAAGTAGTGCACACATTTGTTAAGGAATGAGACCGGACTTGATTCACTACTCGTAATGAACTCGTGGCTGCCATGTTTGAACTGTTTTATATTAAATTAATTGCCCTGGGAGGGGACCCTCTTTATAGGGAGCCCCCGCCTTTAATCCACAGAGAGAGAGAGAGAGTGGTGATTTTTTTAGGTCATACACTTGGCTACTACAAAACTTCATCAATGACTATTGTGTGATTTACATTCTCATGTAATACTGAAACGGTAATTTTATTTTTACTGTATTTTTCTCAGTAAGCTTTGAATGTGAAAAATTAAAATTACGAAGGGAAGATTTCCTTGAAATTCTTCGTGGGGGTGTGCTGCCTGGTTCTCCAAACAAAAGATGGGTATCATTTCTAAATGGAAGTTTTATGGTAACAGTAGAAATTCCACTACTATTAAAAAAACAGGTTAGCCACTTAAAGTAGGAAACGATGAGCAACTCTTGGTCACCTCTTTGCTAATTCCTCTACCCCTCAACAGGGTTTTCATTTTTATAAAAGTAGCAGGAAAAAATTGAAATGTACCTGACTCACTAATGTGCCATGGAGCAGAGCCATGCGGCAAAGCTGCATGAGGGTGAGGGTATGGGGGTATCCCCCTCCTGTTGGGGGGTCCGGGGGTCTCCCCCTTGGAAATTTTGAAAATTTGAACGTCAGAAGAGGCATTCAGGTGTATTTTCAGGGCTAAAAACCCAATGTGTAATAGGTTAAAATCAACGTCGTTAAAGTTTTCATTAAAAATTCCATTTATTTTTTCTTAACTTTCTTCAATCATCGTTATGAAAACTAAATACTATAGAGTTGGTGAGGATTGTTTCAAGAGTATTACTTGACTCGACTGTTCTTAAAAGAAGAAAATTATACTGGTTTCTTAATCTATGGCAAAGAATTTTTTTAGTTTTAGTTACATTTATTAGACGAGAGAGACATTGAAAAATTAACTCTTTATCTGTTTTTGAATTTAGAAGTCACTGTCGCTGAAATCACTCTTCCCCAATGCACTGTGTCAATCACTTTCATCACAACCAGAATCATATTGTGCTAGGCCTAGCTTCATGATAGCCTGTTCTTCCTCTTGTTCCTCCTCCTCCTGACTGATCTCTTCTATGTCAACCACCAACTGTGTCTGAGTGGACATATTCATACACTCCACAGCTGGTTCTGAAGTCTTGCCAGCCTCTGACTGTGCAGTCTTAGACTTTCCTTTTGACAACTTGTAACGTTTACTTGGCAGCCATTTAGCATTTTTCTTTTTCATAAGGCTATCACATTTGGACGAATTTGTTTCTGGACCATTTAAAGAAGTGTTTAGAAGACTCCCTTGCATCTTATTTGTCATTCTACTTCTGAGCCTTGTTTTGATCAACTACACTCGACTAGCAGCCCTCTAAGGCCATGCATTGCTGATGGGAGAAGCGATGTGAAGGTAGACCTTTGAATCATCATTTGGCCCATGCACCACTCTGCTGGCATAATGGTCTTCTCTTCCTTAACATCAGCTGGAATGGTCTTCTCCTTCATATGATACTTGAGAATGTTCCACTCTGCTAGTAGTCGGTCGTGTTGCTCAGGACAGTAATGAGAAGCAAGTACTCGGATAGATTCAACTCCATAAGAGGAAAGCTCAGTAGCGCTGGTAGGAATAAGATTTGGATCAAAGATGGAGAGTGCTCCAAGCAAAGGGAGAGTATTATGGAACCTTAATTCAATGTTTTCTTTGAGTGCAGAAACATACTTTCAGAGCAGATTTCTAGTGGATGTCACTTGATTTTCTTTTGGCAAAAAATGCAACATGGCTATCCTCCCTTGCTTTACATCAGGGGTGAATGCCTTGATAGGTGTCTCACTCATAGCGACTTCCTCCAATGCTGCCTTTGCCCAAGCAATTTCTGGTTTAAGTGACTGAAATTGATTGCTGATTGCTGAAATGACTTACAAGGTTGATCGAGGATAGTTAGCACGTGTTGGAGAACATAAAAGGAGGCTAGGAAGCGGACATTGTTCATTTGAATTAAGAGGCCAATATAATTTTGCCTTTTATGTGTCCGCAGTAATTAACAAGTTTTTTTGGTTCTCATCATCGTCTTTTGATGTCAAAGAAAGAAAAACTGCTTGATTATATTTTTTGTAGTATCCTATGGTATGAAAAAACATGTAGAAGTATGATCTGGTCTTATGCTTTTCACAAACTTGGATTGTTATGTAAGCTCCCAGAAACAAACTAATGCGTGAAATGACAAGCCCAGCGAAGCTAAATGAACACTAATTCTATACTAGTTAGCACTGACACACCTGCGGCCGCTGACTCCTTTCTTTGCTGTTTGAATCCAAACTTTGTTAAAAGTGGCTGTGATTTCTGTCTTTTCATTTTTACAGTCTTGCCAAGCGATAGAGTGCGAACCTGTTTGCGAAATGTGTTGGTGTTTGACGGTTTATTTCTCGCGTCAAACCAACTTCTCTAGATAGAACTTTGAAAATTTATTGAGATCAACTTGTATTTTACAGAAGGTAAATTGATGTAACTGGCTATACATAGAAACATTTAGAGGTTGTTCAGTCTCGAATTAGGCTGGTAATGTACCATTTTTAGTAAAACGTGGAATGTCTAAATAATTTGGAAATTCATGCCTTGAAATCTAATACTGTCAGTTTATGTTATGAAACATTGTGATCACACAATTATGTCAACAAGGAAAAGGCAGGATCCAATAGGTCGCTGTTTCCCTACAGTATCTGAAAGGTTAAAATCATTAACTTCATATCACATGTACCAGGCGAAGAATGTAATTCTAACGGCCAAAAATACACAACACTATAATTTACCAACAGTTTTGATATTAAAACCTGACGTTGCAGCAATTGAATGTTCATTCTTCGTTTTTGAGGTGCTAGGCCACATCCTTTCACAGCTGTAGGTATTTTGTTTGCTGTATTGACCCACTCGGGTGCACAAATGGCAGCTGATCTACCACTTGCTAGTGTAGTTTCTTAATAAGCTTAAAACACCGTAAAAACAGTTGGAAAATACATGAAAATACACTTTGACATTTAGCCTGTTTAGAAAAATTGTGAACTTGTCCATTAGGAACAACACTGTTTCCTCTTTCTCTTCGTTGCTAATAGACAAATTGTAATATTTCACCTTTTTGTGTTGTGCTGAGGTCTGATTGCCAGATGGTGGTGTTGCATTCAAGGTATCTGCACTGGCAAATTTTCAACATTTTTTTTGTCCTTAAAAGTTTACCACCATAGAAGAATGCAAAAGTGGTTAATGCGAGCTCCCTTGATGAATGTCTGTGATAAACAACCACATCCAGACTTGTGGCGTTCACATTTGCACTTGAGTGTTTTGATATTAGGAAACTTGTCTTTGAATTTCTTTGTAATGTCGTTTGAAAACTCCTTTTTCTTTGCAGCCTCTTTCAGGTTGTTCGTGTGAGCACGTCCAACATGCCCTCCACACTTGTACACTTTGCTGTTGGAGTGGTTTTCAGTGACAGACTTTGCAGAGCTGGAATCTCCATCTTGCCAAACTGTATTGACATGGCATCCCTCTTCCTTTGCCTGTTTGTAACACTCCCCGGCAAGGACTCCCTCCATAGACTTGGCCGTGCCAGCATACAATTCTACATCGATGACATCATCTTTCCCTCGCATGCATTTATGCCCATACCAGAGAAGCCTCCCAGTAAGGTAGTTCTTTATAATAAAAGAACCATTTTTACTGAAGTGCCCTCTGGTATGCCACACACCATCTGACTTGACAACTGCCTTTTTCCAGCTTCCTAGGACAGCAGCATCTTTCTCCTTCATTCTGTTTTTTTCCTGTTCACACATTTCATCTAATATTGCAGTGATATGTGGGTACACCAGCTTGACAATGTCATAATACCTGTTCTTACAGCGTATTCCAAGGAACTGCTTTAGTGTTCTTTCAAATTTGGCAAATCCATGACCGGAGATGAAGAATGCCACCCCTAGTGCAAGTCCCACCACAGTTCTTTTAGAACCCTCCACTAGTGCTGACCCCTGAAAATTGACGGTTCGAAGAGTGCAGCTATTACACGTGAAGACTGCATTTAGTGAGCCACCGAGACCAACTTGTTCAACTTTGGCAAGCACAAGAATACCTGAAATGAAAGATAATAAGACTGAAATTAAAATAACGGCATAATAAAATTTATTAACAACAACAAATTTAAAATGATATTACTATTATTATCATAATTCACTTCACTTTTTCCTTCCTTTTTGATTAGCCCAGAGCTTACAATGTGACCTATAAACAACTGACTACAAATAATGGTCTGCTCATGCACATAAGTATCCAACAGTGATTTAGCCATAAATAATATTCTGCTCATGGGTAGTTGTGTCCACGAAAAACCAACTTAGTGATCTGATAATAACACCATTATTATTGAACTTGGTTTTAGCAAAATATTATAATTCGTCAGTGTCTTGCAGATCAATATTATCTGCCTCAGTCGCTTGCCACTCAAAAATCACTATATTTTACACAACCTCGTCCAAAAATTGTTAATTATTATTATTGTTTTTATTATTATATATAAAATATGTAAGTCATTGTGTGGCAGCTAAATAACTATGTCAAAATAACTAAGTTTATGCATATATATGCATAAACGGTTACTTGTCCATGCCACAAAGACATGTAAAAGCTACTATAGAAAGGTCAAGCTCACTAAAATAGGTCAAGGAATATAATGCTATTGAAAAAAAATCGAGAAAATTGCCATTGCAATTGCTGGTGCTGTATTTAGACGTGTCATTTATTTGCTGAACCAAAGCCATTAGCTGAGATGACTCAAACAAACAACCACCTTTCCATCTCTTCTCCTTTCTGCAGCTTCATTTGGGATTCTTTTGTTTCTTCACCTTCACTGCTTGGCATAAATTCTGGGTCCTCTGTTTGGCTTTCTTCAGAGCTTGATGCGCTAGCCAAATGGTCGTGAAGGCATTTCCCCATGCCCCTCATAACAAGAGTTTCCTTTACGGCTTTATGAGTTTTGTACTTGGTCTTGCCAGGACTCAAAAATTGCAACCTTGTCTTGTTCCCACACTCGTATTCCTCCTCTTTCCATTGTGAAGCAGCGTGAATGTTTGTCTACTTCCAACACCTTTTCCTCATTTTTCAGCTCCTTTTTTCCCTCTCCACCGCTTCCTTTTGTCTCAGCCTTCGACATCTTGGTCGTCACTTGATTCCATCCACCAAACTGACATCCTCCTCTCACAAGACATTTCACTTTTCTTATATGAAATTTCTTCATGAAATGTTCATAAAAGTCAAAGTGTCTTCAATTTTTAAGGAAAAAAAAATTGAGGATAGAATGAGTAGGATTCTAACTCGGAGCATCCGATCTGGAATGCATCACTCTAACCCCTACACCACCGAGGATTTGGTGACGAATACCAGTTTGATTTAAATATATAACCCTAACCCTAACCCTACTTTGTGTACGAATCATTAATGTGTCAACGTCAGTTTGGCGGATGGAATTAAGTGTAGGCCCGACATCTTACGTTTCTTTTAAGGCGGCGCCATCTTGAAATGCTATATGATACTACACATGCGCACACTTACCGGAAATTCATCTGCTTAGCAATGGACAAACAAATCCCACCCTGGGGTAGTGGGGTAGGGCAAAATGCACTGCAATAGTAATGAGCAGCGGAAATAAAAAACAATATGGCGTATCTTGAAGAGGAGACAGAAAAATCGGCAAAACAAGCTATTTTTTCCATGTTAACGCTCCATTATTGGTATTTTTGAGTGTGCCAGGTTCATTTGCAGTTAGAGAAAATGAAATTTCTCTAGAAAAACTGGACTGGAAGACATGAAATTTGGCAGAGCCATTCACTACTTAATGACGAAAAACCCTTGTCTTTGGCCTGATGAGATCACCTGTGGAAAGAATATTTTGGGGAGACGACTGCATCAAATTAACACACACGCAGAGGGAACATTTTATTTTATAAAAAGAGGCCATTTTTGCCGGTGCAGATACCTTAATGGAGTAACTAGAGCTTGGGAAGATGACTCATTGTTAGGAGGCACAACAACTGGTGTCTGTGGGGTGTTCTTAGGGTTGCTTCCTTGCACCTAAACTCTGCTTAAATTAAAACCTGGTGAACCTGGTAAACCATGGTGAAACAGGACTTACCAGGCTTTTGAAAATAAACGAGAAAAATTGAAAGCCTGGTTGTAATTTTCCTTGAAAGTGTGGTAACTCAGGTTTCACCTGAAAAGTCTTAACCCTAAATACTTGGTTAATCTAGTATTACCAGGCTTTCCTGATTGGCCTAGTTGAAATTTTGCACCTCAAAAGCCTGGTAAGCCTGGTTTTAATTTTTCACCTCAAATGGTTGGTAAGCGTGGTTTAAGCAGAGTTTCCTGGTAGGCCTGCGCAAAAGTCCCTACGTCAGAAGAATGGTATGCTTGGTTTGACAAGGGTTTTCCTGGTAGGCCTGGTTAAAATCTCCCACCTCAAAAGCGGTGTGAGCCTGGTTGACAATGGCAAATGAGAAATACATGTAAACACAGCAGAAAATTTAAACAAGGTTTTTCCTGGATTTCATGATAGAGTTAAAGCTTTCATGTCATTTTTTAAGGTACAGTAATAGTATGTTTCATTAAAGAGGCATCTTCATAGGCCACCAATGCAATTTTAAGGGCAACTAAAAATCAGCAACTACAGTGAGTAAACATCTTAGCATTAGCAATAGTTTATGGTAGTACCTTGAGTTTTCAATCCATTTTATCATGTAGAGAAAAAAAATCATGTAAACGTGCACATAGAAGGCTGGCAAGACTCTATCAAAAAATATATAAAATGCAGTGTTGAAGGTTTAAGTAAATCCAGTTTACATCAGGCTTAAATCTGTAAATTCTTAGCTGCATTTGGTGCCTCCCATGGCTGTGCTTGAACTTGGTAGTAAATCTCCTTTCTATTTTGAAAGTTAACCTAACAAAGAATGATAATCACAGTTAACAACTGAAATTTGCTGTAAACGGGAGATTCTGTAATTGTTATGTAGGTTCACTGTTATTTTCAGTAAGACTGAGTGGAGTGCAATTCGGTGTTCAGTCATACATGTACAAGTGCTAAACATAATCAGAGAGCTGTGTAGGGGGAGTCCAATTTGTTTCATCACGAGTATGATTATACTGACTGAATTAGAGGACTCAAAGTTGTGTTGCACCAGTAAATCAATAACTTTTACAAAGTTTGTGATGTTTAAAGGATTTTTTAAAATTAAAATACAAGATAATTTGACAGCTTTTGCTACCAGTGGAAAAAAAGAACATTCAAGTGTGGGCAAAATGGTGCATTTTTAACCTAAAGATTGAAACCCAGATTCATATGCAAAGTTTCTCGCGACTTGGTATCCAACTTACTGATGTTGGCGAAGGAAAGATGGATCAGATATGGCTTCTTGTGTTACAGTAAATGGTAGTAACAAAATGCAAAGGTGTTATAAAGCAAGGTTTCTGTAAAATATTAACTTTTCGTCCTTTTTTTGTTGGGCACTTATTCGAATAAATATTGCTTTATTGCTCCCTTGTATTTATTTTGGGAGGTTCCAACTTTCGTTAAACAAAAATAACGTCTTCCAATGGAATTTTGTCTTTAAGCACTTCAACGTTGTGCGATTCGTCAAATCCATCGAAAGAAATGGTACAAACACCATTTCTCACTGCTTGAATCTCTTCCAGGTACCACTTTGTTCCTTCCCCTTAGGATGTATTCGGAAGTTAGTATGTTGGTATGACACTTTAAAGAGCCCCTGCTTAATCAACATCCATGAATTTTCCTATGTCTCGATACTGATTAATTAGTTTTGGAGCTCTTTTAAACTCATGTTCAGCAATATTTTAGTTGTTGAAGCTCACTTGTGTCATTAGTGTTAACAATGTTTTCACATTGTCTAGTATTAAAAGCAACAAATAGACGCAGGCGTTTGTGCTCTCCTCGGTTCTCACTTTCTCATTAACTTCTGCTTGTAGATTGGGTGATATTTGCCCCGTCTTATGAAGGGAATCTCCAACCATTTTGCCATCTGGACATTGATATCTTGGGAAATTGTGTGGGGAGTTTTCCTTCTCAGTGGTTTTTTGTATCACTGTATCAGTTTCGATATAAATCTTCTTAATTTCCTCAAACACATTCTTTGCTGTTTGGTCAATTTAATGGATCATGTTTGAAAATATTTTTTTTGTATAACACACTAGAGCAAACAATAGCCCAAAAGGCAAAGTATAGGTATTTACAATGTAGCTCAAGTATAGAAAAAAAATTACATCTGACACCTAATGGACAAATAAGTGGTTCGCAGTAGCTTACACAACAGAAAAAAAAAACGGAAAAAGTTTAGAACTAAATAGCCTGCACAAAGGATGCAGTTACGGGCTGCGATTCACCCTAACTGCTGGGCTCAGGAGGTTGAATGGCCACGTTTTCTGCCGCTAGTGACACCTTGACCGCATCCACAATTTGCTCAACCAGTGCCGGAGGGAAGGAAATTAGAGACCTTAAGCAAACACTTGAGACGGTTAGGTGGAGGTGGCGATGGCCGTGCAGGAGTGGGTTGAGACCGCCTCCTCTTGGTGCGAAATGAGATTATTTAAGCTAGCATTGACGCGGCAACGAGCGACGGCTGTTTTGCTTTCATTTTCAGTGGTCCAATTTGACTTTGTTCATGGATTTTCGAGCATACTGGCAACTTTTCAAGAAGTCCGAGACCTTCTAGGTGTTGCATGCTTTGAAGACATCATAGACGAGGATGAATTTCTGTTGTTGTGGGATTTTAACATGTCGAAAAGTCTTGACTGTCCTTACAACAACTACAACCGATTTGACCTGGACGAGATCTACGATATCCTAGTGTATAGCAGAGTTTAGAGTCAAGAAATGCGACCTTACGGACCTAGCTGCTGCCCAGGAAATACCAAATCAGTTTGTGTGCCATTAGCAGTGGCCGTGGGAATGGAGGGACTTTGTGTGCTGCTGTGACGACTTTCATGTTCCTGCAGATACTCAGACCTGATAGTGCGCTTTGGTCGGCCAGTGCCTGTTATTAGCATGTTCACAAATACTGTGCTGGATTATATCTTTACCACCGACAGTCAGAGGATACTACAGTGGAACCAACCTATACTGCAACTGGCACAGCTTCAAATATATGCTGATGCAGTCTCAGTAAAGAGAGCCGCATTGAACAATTGCTGTGGCTTTATCAGTGTAATTGTCCAGCCAATTTTCAGACCGGAAGGGCACCAAAGCCTTGTGTATAATGGCCATAAACGTGTTCATGCACTTAAGTTTCAGTCCATTGCTCTTCCAAGTGGACTCGTTGCTAGCATGTACGGTCCTGTTGGAGAGGATATTTGCAACTCAAAAGGTGCAAACTTGAAAAGGTGTACCCCCTCTTTGCACAAAAAAAATGCAGTACATATATGGGATAATTGGTAACAAGGGGAGCCCCCTCAAGCAAATCCAAGCTTCATCCTTCTTTTGAATGTCAGTCAACCAACTACTTTATTGTCATTTTTTTAAGTCAGAAATCACGCTTTTGCTCACCACTTTTAATGAAATAGTTAACAACACTAGGAGGGTGTAGGCCATTACTTTTTCACCATGATTACAAAATCAAAACACTGTAAAATGTTATTTTTTTGCAGAGGCCAGGTGGCCTGATTCTGGGATTTTAGCAGACTCACAATTACAGCCTCTCTTGAATTGCCATACATTCTTACCAGTGGGGGGGGGAGGGGGCAGCTTATGTGCATCTATGGCGACCCTGCCTATCCCATGAGGGCTCGCCTGATCTGTCCATTTAGAGACAGGGTGTCGACCCCTAAGATGCAAGCCTTCAATAGATCCATGAGCCAAGTTAGAGAAGCTGTAGAATGGTTGTTTAACGATGTTGCCAAATCCTGGAAGTTTATAGATTTCAAGAAGAATTTAAAGATGCAGCTTAGTGGTGTAGGGAAAGTGTACTTGGTATGTGCTATTCTACGAAATGTCTTGACTTGTCTCTATGGAAACATGACATCAGAATACTTTGATCTAGACCCACCAGCTCTGCAGGACTATTTTATTTAAACCAACATGAATAAGAGATGTAATATGACAAGAGTTGTACTGAAACAGACATTCAGTAAACGCTTAGATGACTTAGTCTAACAAAACAAAATCTCGTCTTTGGACCACTGCCACGTTTTGACATCTCAGTTTGGTTTTTCAGTGAGCTATTTTACACCAGCACTGGAATAATCCGTCATGAGTCTGTGATTGTTACAGAACAATCTCTGATATATATGTTGTGGTTTAAATTTATCTTTGGTTTAAAATTTTCAGAAACAGTTTGACTGTTATTTCCCTTTGTTCCAGATTATGAGCAATGAATAAATGATTATGATAAATAAATGACAAACGAAAATCAAAATCAAACTGGTTTGCAAAATTTAAAACCAAAGACAAATTTAAACCACAACATGTACATTTACACTGTTACCACAGGGTGATTTTGTTGGTAAAGGGAATAAAAGATATTTTAACATTAATCTGATATGATTCGTGGTCCAACTGTCACAATCCAGTGAAGCAGGGAGTGGAAGATTTGATGCGTGCAAAATTAAATGACAATTCTCTGGGATAGACGAAAGTAACACAATGCGAATCCTTTCGATTTAAACATATGCATAGATTAAACTTAGAAACGTCAACATCAGACCAACCCTAAATGACACTCAAAGTAAAATAAGTTGGTCAAAGCTTGAACAAGCCTGAACAACTGTGAGCAACAGGTTCTTACATGATCATGAGCACAAATTTAGGCTCTTTTGGTTCTTGAATAGGGTCTTATTTTCTAAAGAAAAAAAATACATTGTAGCTAAGAGTTTTTAGTAGTATTCGACTCATTACTGTATACCATTTCAATTGTAGTTGGAGTGATAAGGCACCTACATATGTTCTATGTCTCCAAAAAGATCCTCAGTATGTTTAAAACAATATGAAAGTATATTTATCCCTGGATTTTTGAAAACTGGGTTAGCAAAACTATCAACTCATTCTACTACTTGGCAATTGAAAACAATAAAACTCCTTCAAAGGCCGATTAAAAGCCTTTATCTGATGCCTGGCAGAAAGTTAATGACCCAAATCTTAGAACATTTATTTGGTTATCTCACTTCGTGAAGTTTCAAACCGGTGTCATTTTAGTCTAGAAATTATTAAGTCAAGTGAACTGCAGCAAAAGAGTTCCTGGTTAAGGCTTACATAACAACTTAAATAGTTAGCAAAACACTACTTTTTTTGCGGTCCAATAAACGACCGGATTTCACGAGAAATAGACAAACTGAATGAAACAGTACACAAATCATCACCTTCTTATCTGCAAATTCAGTGCCATTAGACCCTGCTGAAAGTAGACCTATATCCAATTTTCTTGAGTCGAGAGTTGCTTTTTTTGACTGGCAGAAAATATTCTGGCAAAACCGCAGTTTGACCACGCGATCACACCTGTCACACCATGCGGAAATCACACAGTTTCGCTGCACTGATAAGACTATCCACAACCATGCATAATCTTCTCACATTTAACATAAGCGAAATATCATTGAATAACTCGGAAAAATTCGGCCTGTTGGCAGATAAACACCTCTTGGACTTTTCTCTTACGCTCATATTATTCAAGTTCTTGGATGTAAAGTCAAGTGGCCTTGGCTGGGTCAAAGGTCACCTGCAATTTTTGCTCTCACCTAATTCATTTGACTTGTAACAGCCTGTTCTTGAGGTCAAAGTCTTAGCGGTCACCTTTGACGATATTGTGCCTTTCTGTCTCAGCCTAGATTCAGGGTGATTGATCCGTTTAGCCAAATGAAACGAGAATATAATACCATGTTGGATGATGCAGACTCTGCTTTGACCCATCTCAGAGCTTTACATGATGCTCTCTGGGAAACGTTTCTCAAGGTGACCAATATCTAAAAGTAAACTGCTAAATTTCTCCGAAATCTGCTTTAGGAGCGCACTGATTTCAAATAACTGTCACTTCTGTGTTAGAGAGAATTGTGGGTAGGGACGAAAAAATAGTGAGGGAGGGTAAGATAGTAATTCTGTCTACATCCACTTCTACACAAATCCCTAACAAAACCAAAAAAGCGACCTAAGCAAACAACACAGTAAACAAGCTATTAGACGGAAATTTGAGAAAAATTACAAAATGTTCGCTATCCCGGTTTTCACAACTCCAGGTAGACATACAATCGCCTAAAAAACTGGTGATAAATGAAATATTTGAGCATGCAATTATTTCCAAATGCATTTTAATAGTCAAAACGTATTTACAACAGTATTCAACTATATTATAAATATTATGAAAAAATAAAAATAGATCAAGTGGTGATGCAAATGGATTATGCAATTAACCAAAGTTCATATTTCTCATGATTTAATCTTTTCCTTTCTGGTGACTGTCTTCTGCTGGTATTTTTCTGGAAAGCCTGAAAAGGAAAGCCTTTTAGAATGTTAACAGAATTTTCCAAGAAAAAAAGTAGCAAAGGGTTGGGCAAAACCGCAAATCACTGTTTGAACGTTACCCTTTTGCTTAGGGCTTACTGTGCCAAGCTTCTCACATTCACCATATGCACCACTGTGGTTGACGTCCCCTACTTTTTTTTAAACTTCGGTTTGGGTTCTTTTAGTCCCACAAAAACCAGATAAATGGTAAGATAGGACCATGTAACGTTTTTTTATTCTTATCTGAGAAGACTAGAATGTCTGACCATTTGCATATTTTATTACAAATGCAGCACTTTCTACTTAGTCATTGTAGACTATTCATTATCACTTCTAGCTGCAGGCTCTGATGCAGTACTGGCTGTTGGACCAGGCAATTCAAGCTTGGCCTGTGCATGGGCCTTTTTGAGAGCCCTTCACTGTGATTGTTTTTATGCTTAGGTTCATAGCATGGCCAAGGCCTTTCTTGGGGCCCTCCTGTACTTGTTTCTCTGCTCTTAAGGTGGTAGAATTGCAGTAGAATGAAAATAATAGGTTTTAATTGGCATGATGCATTAATAATTCTTTGCCACTCACTCACTCTAATTAAGCGTACAAATGGGTTGAGTTTATCCACTTGTTACAATTAACAGAATGACCAGCTAGTCAAGTGTTATTTTCATTCATATGTTATCGTCAGACAGTGTAAGATTTTCATATTTTGATTTGTTTTATGAATGTGGTGCAGTTCGATCATGACTACTGTAGCACTACAGCATCATTATGGAATTTGCTACTATTGCAAATGCAGCAAGTGCATTTCATTCCTCTTTCTTCTATGGATCCACTACTCACAGTGAAGCTAGTGCCGTATGGGTGCAAGGTGCAGGCTACCTGGTCACAATATATATTGCACAACTCTCAAGTCACTATAAATTAACTGGAAACTTTATCGGAACTTATGCTTTTCTCTCATTAGATTTAACATTGGCGTTGTGGAGTCTGCCATAATTAACATACAATTTTCAGAGTTTTCTGTTGACAATTTGCAACAAAGAGTGTAGTAAACAAATCACTGGCATACATGTGCATTAATCTTAAATTTTACGATTTATCTTTTAAGTTTTAAGCTTACCCAAAGTTATCAGAAAACCAAAGTAAGCTTACAATCGAATTCGAACCACAGTATCAAGAAGAACATTTCTTCCTACAAGAATCGATCCAGCTTGAGTCACTGACTTGGAAACTTGGTTTATGTGAACAAACTTCGCAACTGATCACTTTGTCTCGAAAATAACATACTATTAGATAATAGACAGTCCTTCTATTATCACAGGTAACCCAGGCTCACTATTTGCGTCACGTACAGGGTTTGATATAACATGAGTAAAAATTAAAAATTGATGAAACCTATATACCTTGTGGCGAACTGGTTATGAAGAAAACTATTTTTCCGGAAACTTCGTGTGCATATTAATCGACGACAACAGCTCGCCACGTGGTAAATTTCATTGATTTTTATTTCCACACCTAAACTTTGCCCCATACACCATATTCACAAGTGGCGGACATGTGGTAGAAAACTGACACCTAGTCATGAAAGCGAGGCATTGCTGGATAAACAAAAATTGCCAATGGAGACTTTCAGTGCAATTGCAGAGTGTTTAGGATGGCTTTCACCTATAGTGACTTTCTGCGGACTTCTTTTCAAATACAACTACGTGGAATGTCTTCAGCCTTACATGTGTATCAATGATTTCCTGTTTGCAATCAAAAGGAAATTTGCGTATATCTTGCACGTGGGTTAATACCATATAACAGAATCAAGTTAGAGCTGACTGCAAACACTGAACTCTTGGTCATAAGTTCTGAATACATTAAGTCGT